ACTGTGATTCAGGACCACTTCACGAGATGTGAGGCCAGTTAGTAATAGCTGCTTTCTGCAATGTAAAGCAACTTCTCTGGTCTGAGTTAGATTACAATTTTTGTCTAAATCTGTTGCCATGTCTCAAGGCTACTTAATAAATATACATTTTGAAGTGTTATGTAAACAGTTTGTGATCTCTTCTCAGGAAAAGAACCGGAGAGAGGAAGCTTCAATGTGTAAACACAGAGCTGTCCTTAACAAACTTATCTTGATAACTCTACATTATTACAGCAATTTTGTTTTACTTTAAAGCTATATAGAACCAAACAAATGCAGTAAACAGGAGGTACAAAATAAACTGCACAGCAGCAATACCTAAGGTATGACAAATGGTGCAACTTCTAACTTGTGCAAATTGATATTTCAAAATTTTAAGTTCATCCATCCATCCATCCATCCATCCATCCATCCATCCATCCATCCATCCATCCATCCATCCATCCATCCATCTTCTCCCGCTTAGTCCTTGTCAAGGTCTCGGTGGGGCTGGTGCCTATATCCGGCAGTCTATGGGCGAGAGGCGGAATACACCCTAGACAGGTTGCCAGTCTGTTGCAGAGTTTTATGTTTAATCTTTAATCTTAACAAAGAATACTAATATCATTTAACGGGATTTTTTTCCTGGTTCATGATTTAAAAAAAATTAAAAATCAAGTTCGTTCCTTCTCTGTCACATTCTCCACTTTCAATTTTACTAAAAAAAAATGATCACTGATGAAAAGGAAGGAGGCTGAATGCGGAAAAGGAATCACTGCATAAGTGACAGACATGAAAAAGCCATAAACATAAAATACCCAGAGCATTTGAGGAGCGTAAATGACAAGCAAACCTTTCAGTTCCTGAGTGACTGTTAGTCATCAAGGCTCTGGTGGTCAAACCAAATCAGGGAACATTAAATGAAAAGCAGTATTTCAATTTAGAAATATGAAAGGAAGCAAACCCCTGCTGAGCAACCACCAAACAATAAATTGACTGCATGATTGATGATTAAAAAAATGTGAGAAAAAAGCTTTCAATAACAGCTACCACAGCATGCACCTTTCTGAATAATGGAGCAGCCACATGTCTTTTAAGTTCATTTTTGATCCAGATGGAAAAAAAATAATAATTTGTCAGTTCCTTTATTACATAAAATCAATATTGAAAATGAAAGTTCTTTTGATCTTTTTGACAAATTTTTCCAGACCACAAGCTCCATCTGCCTGTACAGACTCAGCTAACAATGTCGAAGGGAGAACGTGTACAACACAGACGATAATGATCCTGTGAATGTACAGATCAAGGTCTCCTCGTTCCGGTGATTAAGCATCCTAACGAATGAATGTTGGAGGACACGCTTTATCACCTAGGTCCACACAGAGCTCTTTCCATATCTATCATTCTCAGATGGCCAACCTGCGCCTGCCATGTGCTGTAGGCTGCCAAATAAAAACACCACAGGCGTCGCCTCTGTGGTCTGCCTGGCTTGTTTTATGTTTAGTTTTTCTCATGAAACAAATCCTTTCACAGCTTGGTAAAAAAAAAAAAAAAAAAAAAACTAGAAGTTTTAACTCCTTATCACGGCTGGACAACTAGCCAGTGATTAAAACAGGAAAAAAGAAAAAAAAAATGGAGCCTGGAGGATTTCTGCTGCTTATTTAGCTTCACAGCTTGACAAACCCGTTTACCTTGGTTCCAATTTAAATTCTCAAGTACTTAAGTGTTTTGGGGTTTTTTTGGTTAGAGGGAAAATTCATTGGTAGGCAAGAAGAAAAACAACACAGAAAATGTTTCTACAGCTTGAAATGGGCAATGCATCATTAGTGTGTAATTTGTTAATATTGTTCATCTTTGAAAGAAAATGCTTTTATTTAGCATTTTTGCTTTTGAAAAACGAAATGGATAAATTAATTTGCACCCTGATCTGACCTTCTCTGATTATTTATAAATATTATAAAACTAGTGCATTACTCATAGAAATAACATTTTTAAAATAATTTTTATTGATACTCTAAAACAGGAGTCTTCAACGTTTTGGAGGACTGCCAAACTGATGGTGAGATGGATTGCAGACCCCTTAATTTTATACATATCGATGAAATAGTGTTATATCAAACTGGTCCTATAGTCACTCTCTTACAGATGTAGTAATGCAACGAAAGTAATGTCGCACTGGGATTATTGAAGTATTTCTGAGTCTAATTCCACGTAGATGGGACAGGTGTTGTAAATGAAACAGTGCCCAGCTTGAAAAAGCTCCTTTGTGTCGTTGATTGTGTTCATTGATGCCTGGAAGACATCTTCTTCCTCCATTTATCTGTTTACCACAGTGTGTTGAATTGATGTTAATGTTTATTTAAAGACATTTCAATTAGTGGAAAAAATTGCAGGGGAGAATATAAAAAAAGTCTAATCAAGTAAAACTTTCATGACCCCCATGCAGTACCTCCACGTACCCCCTAGGGGTCCAGACCCCCTGTTGAAGAACTACTCTAAAAGTAATAACTTTAAGGTTAAGCCCCCTTGAGGTAGTTAGCAGCATTGCATAGTCATGAAACAGTCTCCCTCTGTGGTTTGGAATCTGCTAGCAGACCACTTTGAACCAACAGACTTATGCTACGTTAACACCGCAGGCAGCAGAGGCAGCAGAAGCAGCTAGTTTACATGTAAAATCAATGGTTGACGCTCATCAAGGCGCAGCAAAAGGTCCCACGTCACATTTGGAGCAGCAGGAGCAGTGCAGCACCTCACGAGCTTCTAAGCATCTGACTCCCGCGACGCCCTGTGAAAGCAGCAGCTGCTTGGGTCGGAAAAATTTAAATTGGCAAGGACACAGACACAGCACTGCAAATGCAGATCGCTATGATCACTCCACTGGACCAGTTTATCAACGCCTAAATTAACGTCAAATGTCAAAACCTGGAAAATATGTTTGATTTTACAATTCTGGTGCCTGTAGTTCGGATTACGTACGTGAAAAACACCCTCTAGTTGCAGCAAACAGTTGCAGAAAACCGCAAAGAGGCGACTGGGCCAGAGGCTGTTATTGAACGGGATTCCCAGTGACAGAGCACCGCGGGTGTACGGGGGTCTGAGTGGCACTGACAGTGAAATAATATTTAGGCAGGATCGTAATCTTCATGAACTGACTGCACAGATGAGGTTTTCAGGTGGACTTTCTCACTTAAAAACATTAAAACTACATTCTACCCACTTATAATCCCACTTATAACAGCAAATATAGCTGCCATTGTTATGGGCAAAGAAAGGATAGGGTACTCTGCCCAACGTGCATTATACCCACTTTTCGACAACACAGCAAGAGCAGCAAAGATGCCTCAGCTGCATGTCAGAACTAAACTTGTGCAAGCATTATAAAATGAAGCAGCACACGCATTTTTGCTGCTCCTACTGTGTACGGTGTGACTAAAGAAGTCATGGAGTTCCTTGTAAAGAAAAGGCCACATTCACCGCTCTACATCTACATTCAAACTCTACATCAGAGAACCAAAATGTCTAATAAGCTAAGTGTTTATTTGTTGCCTAACAACAACAGCGCTCTCATGCTAGCCGAGAGACATAGTCCCTCAATGGTGTTCTGGGGGTGCACTGAACAACTCCTCATGGAGGCATTCAGGGTCATCTGAAAAAGAGAGGAGGGAGCCAGCAGAACCACATCATCCGCAAAAAGCAGGGAAGAAATCCCCAAAGGAGACCCCCTCCCTTTCTTGGCTGCACCTAGAAATCATGTCCATGCAGGTAATGAACACGACCGAAGACAAAGCGCAGCCCTATAGGTGCCCAACATGCACAGGGAGGAGGTCCGAATTAATGCTGGGAGTGCAGACCAGGCTCCTGCTCCGCTTGTTCAGAGACTGACTGGTCCCTAGTAAAGGGCCCCCGACCCTGTACTCCTGGAGCACCCCCCACGGGGCACCACAAGTGACACGGTTAAAGGCCTTCTCCAGGTCCACAAATGTGGACTGGTTGGGCAAACTTCCATTAACCCAATAACTATCCCATTAACCCATTAATAATCCAATAACTCCTGGAGAGGTTATAGAGCTGGACCAATCTTTCTCAGCAGGGATGGCAAATGCACTGCTCTTCCTGAAGTCAAGGTTTGACAATCAGCCGGACTCTCCTCCCCAGCAACCTGACATAGGCCTTCAAGAATTCAGCCCGGGTGATGACTGAATTCAGCCCTGAGCACCCTGTCCTTTCTTCGACCATGGAAGGTGTTCTAGCCGAATTGAGGAGATTCTCAAAGTATTCCTTCCACCAACCCACAATGTCTCAATGGGGTTGAGATATTGTGACTTCTTTAGAATATTCTAATGTTATGACTTCAGTCCTGTAAACATAATATTATATCTTTATGGAGGCTACTCATTTATGCAGTGGGTAGCACTGCTGCCTTGCAGCAAGAAGGTTCCTGGTTTGATTCCTGGCCTGGGATCTTTCTGCATGGAATTTGCATGTTCTCCCTGACCTAACATTAGGTTCTTTCCGGGTACTCTGGCTTCCTGCCACAATCCAAAGAACATGACTGTTAGGTTAATTGACTGTCCAGGGTGTACCCCTCCTCTCACCCTTAGACAGCTGGAGATAGGCACCAGCACCCCTCGCGATCCCTCTTGGGATTAGCATGATGGAAAAATTGAATGATGGTCATAATATCATGACGTCATTTTTAGTATGGTAACATACATTATGTTACTGAGAACACGTTTAATGCCACTGCTGACTAAAGATCTCTGGAAGGCGAAATATGTCACATACCAGGAACACCTTAAAATGAATAAGCAAGACCTTTTTCAGACAGTCCCAATCATTATGTTTGGTGGTAGAAATACTATTGTTAACCCCTTGTCTAGAAAATTTCTACAACTTAGTGAAACTTACAGAAAAAAACAAAGAACAGAATGACACAGAGAGTTTGGAAGTTGGATTGAATTAATGATAAGAAGCTTCCTTACCTAAGAGTGAACATCTCCACGGTGGAGTAGGGAGATACACTGATGAAGGTGGACACAGTCTCCCTCTGTCTCCTAGGTGTGGCTGGAACCATGACCAGAAAGTTGTTATCCAGCCATTGCTCACTTAAAGGGGGCTCTGTGGGGTTCTTGAAGAGTCTCACTCCACCAATCCTCTTCAGTGGCGTGGAGGTATAGATACCAAACAGCTCTTCTTGATTGGAGCGGATGAAGCTCTCCTTTCTAGACTCCTCTGAGCGGCATTCTCCTGCTTCCGTGGTTCGCAGTAAATAGTAGAGCTCCACCGGGGTGCCCTCAGACACCTCAGCATTCCTCTGCCGTCCTGGCACTACGCTGGGGGAGCTAAACCAACTGGCCAGTGGCTCCAACTCAGCCACACACAGTCCCAACTCCCCTTTGAGCTGACAGGTGCCACGAACCTCCTGAGTCTCATGAAAAGCAAACATGTGTACACAGGGCAGCTTATCATTGGTGCTGTAGTCATCCCAGTCCCTGCCTGCTATGTAAAACAGAACCTGTACTTTAGGCTTGGCTAAGTCAATCTGTGTGTTCATGATAAAGGTTTGCACCTTCCAGTTAAAAGTGAAGACTGAAGAGGCGGGGAAGGTCCGAGGACTCTGCAGAAGCTCTAAAGGAACAGGCTGCACCACCGATAGAGGTCCATAGCTGGCATTCACAGAGGGCAAGTTTCTGGCCTGGTAGATGAAGAAAGCCTCAGTCCTTGAAGTCAGGCTAGAGTTTCTCATGAAGTCCTGGTTGGCTTCCTTAAGGAAAAACCCCAAATCAGCATTTAACAGCTGATAGTTGACAGGCAGGTATGTTGGGGAAGAGGAGTATCTCTGTAAACCCTCCAGGACCCGACAGTCTGCCGCTAGAAGGAAGAGCAGAAAAGCGAGGTTAGAAGCAGTTCACCTTAAAGTCCTCATTTATAACCAATCTAACTCTACTTATAAATCTAGAACTAAAAGCCCACTGCAAGAAATAAAAAAAGGATTCATCGTTTTCCCAGTTCCGATCAATAAATCTAATTTTAAAAAGATGTAGAATAGGCCCAAAAAGGGCACTCTGATGGAGAATAACTGAAAGTTTTATATTTTCCTATAAGAACTTGGTCTTTTTGTTTCCTACAAGATTTCATTATTTTCTAAAAGGTAAACAAACAAAATTCAATACTCATCGACGAGAATTGCTCACATCATTATATCCTGACTGAGTCAGTAGAAAGCAAACATGTAAGCTTCCAAAAAAGCTGAAGTGCCTAGAGAATTGATCATTTCTAAAATACAACCATTATTTTTGTTTTATATGAAGAGTAGCTTCTTCCAGGAAAATTGCACTCTGAGATTTCCTTCCATGAATAAATGGTGGAATGTCTGAACATTGATTTTTAAACTTAAGTCAAAGAATTACAAAGAGTTTCTATAAGAATAAGAGTATTTCATTTTCTAAGAACGATTCGACAAGATGGGAATTATGTTATTAAATCAGCACTGTATGCCTTTTACAATAATGTATTTTATACTTCTTTATATTTTAAACTTATGTTGCTCTGTTATGTGTTGGCAGTGAAGAGCAGAATTATTGTGCTAAGGGCCTCTGTTATTAGATAGAATTTTAGTTACATTCAAAGATCCTGGAGAAAATAAACTGATTGAAATGAAAAAAACAACAACTTTTGTTTATTGAATTTACTTCCTGTATTCCCTTTCTGTCTACATAGGTACCTATTAACACTCGTACAGCTAGAAGGTAAATCCCTGCCCTAGTCCAAAGTGTCTTGAAACCTTGTTCTTAGCCAGAGCTGCCTTGCATTTTGCTCCAACCATCTTCCAAACAATGCTACCAGCTTTCCTGTCCCCACTTATGACAAACATCCCCACAGCATGTGTCACAGTGGACGAGTTTTTGTTCGGTGTGAATTTTCTACCAGCGGTGAACCAGAAGTTAAAATTTTGTGTCATCTGGCCATAGCGTCTTTATTGAGACATTTGCTGTGCCTCCAGCATTGCTTGTGACAAACTGAAAACATGCCAGCTCTAATTGGTTTCTTTAAACTTATGTTTTATCAACTTCGTTTTCCACAAAGACCACTTTGGTGGGTTCTCCAACTTAACTTTGAGCTTGGGACAGTGTTTTATTACGCAATCCTTAGCCTTCCCAGAAAATTCCTCACTGACCTATAGTGCTGTTTTCTCACTAATGATCTCTAACAAATATGTGATGCTTTAACACCTGCTGTATTTATAAAGATGTTTAATTAAAAACCTGTGAACTTTATTGACAGTCAAGCCTGATTTCTCAGGAAGCTGTTTGCAATGCACTTCATTTAAGGATATTAGGGTAACTACTGTAGATGAATGAAGTTACTTAATAAGCAAAAATTATCGTTAGTTTCCCACACTAAATTCCAATGAAATACGCAGTCTTGTGTTTGTAATGCGACAAAATGTAAGATAAATTAAGAAGTCTGAATACTTAGGATTTCAGTGAACAACACAGTGTTGCTTACCAATATGTTGTCTGTTTGTTTCTTTATTTCACACTGCTTGAGAAACATTGAGGCAAGGTTGATATAAAGACACATTTAATCTTTATAAGGATGGAATATGACCTTCTTACAATCAATCTACAAAGTGATTACCCTCCCACAGTCCCATCTCTGCGCTAGCATCCACAGCATTTCCCTCTACTGATCATCCCTGTAAATCACTGTCCAAACAGGTAGCAAATCTGTCATGAATTTTCAGATTCATGGTGCTGATAAGCACCTCTGTTCAGCTGCTGTCCTAGTCAGAGATGCAAAAGGAGACAGCTGAACCTCAACTTTTGCATCCGTCTGGATTAAATTCAAATCCAAATCAGTGGAGAGCTTGTGACTATAGATATAGCTCTTTTGAGAAGCTGAGCGATGAAGGGTGATTTATATTTATTTGTTGGCTTTGTGTCAATTGTTTTCTCCAGGCATTGTTTTATATGGAGTATTACAAGACATTAGTGAGGGTAAATAAAAAGTTCTTTAACCCAGAATGACAATACAGTCAGAAAGAAATTCATCCTTTGGTTTGTAAGCCATAACATGACATTAATTCCAATGCAAGTGGCTCATGTCTCTTTTATAAACAAAGAACAGGTCTTGATTGATCTCCTGTTTTTTGTGCTAAAATGTAATTTACTGTCTTTACGTCTTTATTTATGTACGCTAAGTGGCTTGAAAAACCTTTTGTTGCATACACAGATCTCTGTCTACGTCTCATTATCCAACTAGGAAGAACAATGCTTGCTAAAAGATCTTTTCTGTTTAGACTTAGTCAAACTGATTTCCATATTTTATTCTGTCTAGCAAACAGAGGGGTGGTTTAGCAATTTGCCACTGAGCATCATTATGCTGGCAAATTTGGTTCTTGCATCTTTGAGGATGTCACTATCATAGGCTTTACATACCAAAATTTTCGAGATCAAAGACATTAAACATGCAATTATCCAGTTTCTGTAAAAAGTGTTTGGTTATAAGTATTTTACTAAATGGATGCACCTTCCCAAAAGTAAGAAACCAATCTAGTCATAGCTACAGTAGGAGCTTACCATCCACCCTTCTATCCTCCCACCCACCATCCATTATTTCATCCATCCATCCATCCATCCATCCATCCATCCATCCATCCATCCACTCATCCACCATCCAGCAACCATCCACCCATCTTCCCAACCACCATCCACCCACCCTCCATCCATCCATCCATCTACCCACCCACCATCCACCCACCCTCCATCCATCCATCCATCTACCCACCCACCATCCACCCACCCTCCATCCATCTACCCACCCACCTTCCATCCATCCATCCATCCATCCATCCATCCATCCATCCATCTACCCACCCACCATCCATCTACCCACCATCCACCCACCCTCCATCCATCTACCCACCCACCTTCCATCCATCCATCCATCCATCCATCCATCCATCCATCTACCCACCCACCTTCCATCCATCCATCCATCCATCCATCCATCCATCCATCCATCCATCCATCCATCTACCCACCCACCATCCACCCACCCTCCATCCATCTACCCACCCACCTTCCATCCATCCATCCATCTACCCACCATCCACCCACCCTCCATCCATCTACCCACCCACCTACCATCCATCCATCCATGCACCTTCCATCCATCCATCAATTCATCCATCCATTCACCCATCCATCCATCCTCCCACCCACAATCCACCCACCCTCCATCCATCCATCCATGCACCATCCATCCATCCATGCACCTTCCATCCATCCATTAATTCATCCATCCATCCATTCATCCATCCATCCATCCATCCATCCATCCTCCCACCCACAATCCACCCACCGTCCATCCATCCATCCATGCACCTTCCATCCATCCACCATCCATCCATCCATCCATGCATCCATCCATCCATCCATAAATTAATCCATCCATTCATCCATCCACATCCATCAATTCATCCACCCACCCACCTACCATCCATCAATCCATCCATCCATTCATCCATCCAAATCCATCCATTAATCCATACATACATCCACAACCCATCCATCCATGTACAGTTGTGCATGAAAGTTTACATAACCTCCGATTAAAGAAAATCATAATTTCACCCCAATAATTCACATAACACAAAACTGAAAAAAGAAAATAATGAATAAAAATTTACTAGCTATTTTACTGAGAAGTTTTTTATTCTTACTTTAGTATTTTATTCAGTGGCTACTATCCACATCTACTTGAGTATAAAAATGCTAACGTAGTCGTACCATTACTTGGGTAAAATGATGGGCTACTATACCCACCTCTGTATATATACAGTAGATATCCTACTGTTAGGATTTGTTTAATAAGTTTATGTTGGAAAACTGAAAGGTGTTTCTTCTGCTTGAATTTAATAAATTTTTTATAACCGTTTGAATTGTTTATTTAATTTTTTTTTACGAATTTTAAATAACTTTGTGTCTGTTTACAGTACATCATTCTAAATATTAAATCAGATTCTACAAGTCAACAATTACTCAACACTTGAGTAGCCCTTTTATCAAGTATAAATTACTTTATTTCAGGAAAAACATTGAAGCAATGCTTCTCTGAACACAGTTTTATTTTCAAATCCTTCAGCCTCCTTTTTGCATTTGGTTCTTCCACCTTATCATTCATGACAAGAAAAGGAAAAGCAACGCTATTTACCAAGATTTGCAAAAAATCTGAACAAACATCTTGAAATTTAAAATAGTGGGATGCAGGAGGAGACGACCACACTAGATGCTCAGAAAAGTAGAAAGAAAACAGGAAGCAAAGGCTACAGTTTGTGCATACAGTCACAGTTAGGAAAAGGATTTTACCCATTCAACTCTATGCTGGTTTCACCGGATCCATTCAAAGGGTAGAGTCTGAATTTGGCATAAACCAGAAAAAAAAGAAACATATCCGTTCACCAGGTTTGGCGATAGTATGATGGTTTGGGAGATATATAGGAAAAGGGCCTTTTACTACAAACAGATGATCACTAGAATACATTAGACTATCTAATGAATTCTCCACCACGTCCACCTTTTCAATGGCCACAGTCAATCCATCTAGGAATGGCTATTTTCAGTAGGATAATGAGATTGAAGATTACCTTATTTCCAGCTGATGTTCTTGAACATGACAATATGTTCACACAACACCCTTCACAGTCCCAGATATGAATCGAACAGGGACAAAATAAATTATCTGCAGCAAGGAAACCCCTTACCATTAAGTGACTCTTTAAGACACATTATTTTTCCTAACAGCTTTTATGACACCTTGACTCTATGCCATAAAAAAAAGTCATTTTTGAGAGCAAAAGATGCCAT